TGCAAACAGCTTTTCAAAGTCCTTTGTATTTTCTCCTGCTACTTCATGGATTCCTATCAGTCTTAGGTTATTCTTCTTTTCATCATCTAGGAGTTGTTGGATCGATTTCTCATGATCTCTTACAGTTTTTAAGAGACCTCTCTTTTCATGTTGACTGACTGCAATCTTATCTTCTATATCTGAGAGTCTATCTTTGCATTCTTTTATTCTGTTGTGTACACTTTCAATGGAGTGTTTAATCTCCTGGATATCTGTTTGAATCTGTTTTATGGATTCCATTTCTTTCCTATGTTGGGTGTTTATTTTTTCCATTTCTTTCTTATGCTAGGCCTTCATGGATTCTATCATGGTCCTGAGCTCATCTATTTTTTTGTCAATTTCTGCTCTAGAGTCTCGAATCACGACTTCCATTTTGCTCACTATCTCTATGTTTATCTGGGAAATTATTTCTGTTTTGTGTTTTTCTAGAGCCCGATTGATCTGTTTTGTTACTTTCTGTGCTTTGAGTTCAGGGTGTCCTGGTGGTTCACTATTGGCCTTTTCATCCTCATTTGCCCTACTGTTTGCCATTGGTAAACTGGAAGTCTGTCCTTGTGTCTTACTTGTTTTCTCATTTTTATTTTTGTTGTCGGACAGTCCTTGGTTTAATCTCTGGGTTATCACCCAAATCTTCCTGATATAGTCGCACCCTAGCTTCTGTGTCTCTAACGACCCACAGAAATTCTCATCTTCATAAAATTAGAGAAAACAGCTCATCAAATCAACCCCAATGCTTTACCCCAACTGATACAATCAGCAACACATTAAGATCAAGCACAACTCTGACACTGACCACCAGTGGTAGTCACTAGTCTGTCACCCTTAAATCATTTGAATTAAATTGAAATCAATAAGCAGTCCAGAACATGTCTGCAGTGAACAAAATTTCAATATAGTGTATTTACCATTTAATGGCTCAGACAGAGCGAGGATGCAAGACCCCTGATCTCACTTAGCTGATGGCTGAACCCCATGACGCTGACTGACCTTGGGCTGCAAGGCCCAGATTGAGTTCCCCAACCTTCTGAATGGTTGAACTCCACAACGTTCTATTACAGGTTTCCCATGCCCTTTCTTTAAAGATGTTCAAAGTTGGGAACTGAACAAAAAAAAACCCTTGATGACCACCTCTGCTTCTGCAGAGTGGGTCCAAAGACTGGCACAGTCAGGAGGTCTGAGAGTGCAGAGGGGGGGCTTATGGCGGTTCAGGGGCGCCTGTGTGGCTACCTTCCCGGAGCTTGAGTGATGGTGGCTGGGTCGGGAGCACATGTGGCTCTCCTTCCCGCCGTGGATCGGGGCCCAGCCTACCTCCCGGGGCTTGAGTGATGGCGGCTAGGTCAGGAGCAGGTGTGGCTTGGTGGATTGGGGCCCAGGCTACCTCCCGGTGCTTGAGTGATGGTGGCTGGGTTGGGAGCAGGCGTGGTTCCTGTTAACTCTTTTTCTTTTTTTGGTATCGGGGATCGAACTCGGGTCCTGCGCTTTAGTGGTGGAACTGCTGAGCCAAGTCCCCGGCCCTGCTGTTAACATTTTGATGAGTATCCATTTCCAATGCACACATAAAGATTTCTTGAAACAAGTTTGAATGCAAGCTTATATTAGTATGTAGCCTTTTAACCAGTGTGGGGTTGTTGGGTTGGCTGGTTGGTTTTGAAACAGGATCTTGCTGTGTAACCAGGCTGTCCTTGAATTCATGGCAATCCTCCTGCCTTGGCCTCCTGAGGACTGGGTCTATAGGTGTGCACCACCACACCTGGCCCAACCAGTTTGTTTGTTTTTTTAATGACTCAATATTCATGTTCAGTGGCTACCTGCTGTGTATATACTTCTTCAGGGTCCTTCTCATGAAGTTTTTAAACACTGCAGTGAATATATTCCAATGGATTGAGCCTAAAAGACTTTCACACGAGAAAAAGAATCGAAGTGATGCACAAGTGACTATAAATTAATTGCTTGGGTGGTGGAGCTGTTCCTTCGGGACAGGTTGCTGCGATCTGTGCTGCCGCTTTTCTAATAGCAGAATGATGAATGCTCTGAGTGCAGCCCCAGGGACCCGGATAAGGACAGAGGGGCAACTCCGCCTCCCTAAGCCTGGGGTGGAACCGTGGGGGTCCCAGTCTTTGTGAGCCGCTGCCTGGGTGCTCTAGGCTGGGGGCTCTGCCAGGCACCGGGAGCTCAGTGCTTACTGGTGACAAAAGCTGCAGCTCTGTGACTTCTATTAGGGCCCCTCTGTAAGACGGGGTGGTTCCCTAAACTTGCAGCATTTCTTAACCCTGAGATCAAAGTCCCTGGGGAAGAGGAGATGGTGATGTGTCACCACTGCCCCCACTTCAGTTAGTGCTGTCGAAAGAGGCCACTGCTGGAGCCTCCAGGGAGTGTCACCTCCTTCCTGCCCATACCTTCAGGATGGCCAGAGGCTGAGGACACTGTGTTCAGTCCTCAACAGGACTCAGGCAAACTGCATGGCCTTTAGGTGACTTCACCCACATCACCTGGGGGGTCATCCTGGAGCTTCCTTACTTCATCTTCAGACTGCTGAGATTACCTGAGCCTCTGTTTTACGTCAAGTATAGCGCCACATGGTCAAGAACACGGCTTGTCAGAATCCTTGGTCTGGAAGCCCAGCTCAGCAGCTGCTGGCTCCCAGTGAAGGTTCGTTCTTTCACCTCTGTGGGATTAATTTCTAAGCTATAGCACAGAGATGATATTAGGACTAAAGAAAGTCCACGTAGAACACCCAACTGCCCATGGTATAAGGCACATAGGATATAAGAAACGTTAGCTGCCATTGTCATTGGGTTAAATATTGTAATTAGTGAATTTCCGTCGAGAATGGAGGCTGCTGCCCATGGAGTTAGCTGGGCACACACCTCTGCTCTCCTCAGTACAGGGGGGCACCCTCCGCTGGGGCGTCTCAGTTGGCCGCAGGTGTCATCCGCATGCTGCCTACAGCACGGCGACTTCTCTCCAGCATCCGTACTTGAGCTGGGGTGGCCGGAACCCTGCTCCTGTTCTCGGGCCCAGCTCAGCCTCCTGGCGCATTCCCTTGTGCTGGACAGACATTCTGTGCAGGCCTGGGTCTTCCCCAGTGAGGGCTCTGAGAGGCCCAGGCAGGGGCTGCGAGGCTCCTGACAGTTTGTGTGACAGTGGGCTTCTGATTCTGTTACCGTCGATCGATGTTAACCCTAATGCTGAATTAAGCCGGTCACAGGATCACTTTCAGCTTTGTCCCAGGGTGCCCTGCCCTCCCTGCAGCCTGAGGATCCTAATAGGAGAGGCTGGGAAGCAACCTGACATAGGACTTCCTTGTCTGGGGGGGTCCTCGGCCCCTTGGATGAGCACCTGGTCCCCAAAAGAACCCACTGTTTTGGGGACAGGCAGCATCACACTCAGCAGGCAGGTGTGTAACACAGACATCACGGCTGGAGAAAAGCCAGGGAGGATAACAGCTCTTCACTACTCTGAAGCAATTCTAAGATAAAACGAAACAAGACATCAAGATAGGAGCCAAAGCAGGAGTGGTCATTTGGCAGAAAACCTTCCGGTCCAGTCTCTGCACCTCATTTAAGCCATTTCCTAATGCCAGGAATGAATTTAAAAAGCAAAGGGCAGAACTTCTAACCCATTATCTTGCAAACCTTTCAGCTTCCCGTAATTGTCATGTGAAAAATCTCACTGGCTCTAATGAGCAGCTCTGACTTCCCCTGGAAGACACAGGAGCTGAAGCAGAGCTCCCTTTCAGGAACCCATTCTGGGCTCAAGGGATCCAACGCCAGGGCAGCCAGAGACGCATCCACTTTCCCGGGGACCCACGCGAGGGCGCAGAGGCAGTGGAAAGGGCAGGGCCTGCTAGGTGCGGTGCTGGCCAGGGCCCCTCCCGTGCTCCCCAGCACCGCTTGGTGTGTTGCTGATTTACCAGGCTGACCCATCCCTGGAGGCAGGCGGGGCTCAGTGTGCAGTGGGAAGTGATGGCTGCTGTGCGAGGTGCAGCTCCTCCAGCATAGGCGTCGCCTCTGGGGGGCCAGCAGAGGAGACCCACACCCTTTGTCAGCCACCTCTCCAGCTCTGAGGGGCTTTCCCAGCTGGTTCCAGACTATGGCGTCGGGCCTAGCACCGACTGCAATGCAGTGGGTCCAGAGCTTGCGGGCCTCCTCTGGGGTCTTCCTACCCATCCTCACCCTCGTGTCTCCAGAAATGCAGGAGCTGGGCTGCCCGAGTGGGGAGGTTGGGGGAAGCGGGGATGCAGGGAGCACAGCCGCGATCTCGGCAGAAGCAGACTCGGCCTCCGCTGAGTCTGAGGGACCTTGGGGGCCATTCATGGGATGAAGCTCTGGACAGGTGACGCCCTGAGGAAGGCTGAGGGGAGGTCTGAGGCCTTTCCTCCCGGGCGTGGCTAGGTGTGGCATCCTGGCCAGGCAGAACTCCTGTCTCTGGCTGATTGGATGATAAAATGCAGAGGGCCCACAGGGGAAAGCAGCGCCGCCAGGAGTAGATGGATAATTGGCTGTCTCAGCCCTGCTTGCTTCTCAGCCACTGCGAGAGTCCACACCAGCGTGACTAATGCCTTGCCCTCGGCCTAAATTAGATTTTGATTGTGTTTCATCCATGTTCACTGCATCGCAGATGTTGGAGGTAAAAAGACCCAAACTTCTCAGCACGCCTCCCGTGGCAGGGCTGGGGCTCCCGGAACCGGGCCAAGACTGCAGCGGAAACCCCGTCCCTCCCAAGCTCTGGAGCTGCGCGGACTCTCGGTGCCGTGGGCCATGTGGTTGAGCGAGGAGCCAGCTCCTTAGCTGCACCCGTGGCTGATGCCTGCGTGGGCGCTGTCAGGTTCTCCGCGGAGCCCCTGAGAGGCGGAGTAGTCCAAGGTCCCTGGCAGTTCGCCTCCCGGGGCGTCCCTCAGCCGTGCCACCCATTCTGACCGGCATCGGCCCGTAGTAAGCGCATTCTCATGTTTCTTGCAGAATTTAGCCTACGAAATCATCTTAACCCTGGGACAGGCCTTTGAAGTCGCTTACCAGCTGGCACTACAAGCGAGAAAGGGGGGACATTCTTCCACGCTCCCGGAAAGCTTTGAAAACAAGCCCTCCAAACCCATCCCCAAGCCCCGCGTCAGCATCCGCAAGTCAGTGGTAAGTAGAAAAGAGGTGTCCTGAACACCTGCAGCGGGGCCGGGTCTGCTGCACACACCTGCATGGTGTGGGTGCCAGGTAGAATCCAGGACCTCGATTCCACATCCTTCCCCTTGCCTCCTCCTGGCATGACTTGCATCGTCTCAGCAAGGGTCCTGCAATCTTAGAGGACCCCCTCCCTGAACCCAGAGGCTCCAAGAAAATTCCACTTGCTCTGTCCCCTGCAGCCACCAAGAGGGCGGGAGGGGCACTGCCACTCCGGTGAATCTTACCTGAAGCCAGGGACACTTGGAGCTGTGCTCCCTGAGGCCTCCGCTGCCACCCCACCAGGGGACGAGGCCTCTGGCAACCCCCTGGCCTCCAGATTTGCAGCGGCTCCTGGTGATGATTCCCTGGACCCCGGTGGCAGGCGGATGCCAGCTGCCCAGGCTGCTCTGCACCGTGCAAGGCATGGTGTTTCCAGCGGCCGCTGAGGCTTCCTGCCGCGCCGTGACTGTCAGCAGGCACAGCCCTTCCTCCCCTCCTCCTCGGCATCTGCTTCCTCCGGGACCCTCCCCCGCCCCCCACCGTCCCGGGGCTCACGTGACTCCCTCCCGCCCCGGCAGCCTCCTCTGGTAGTAGCAGCACCTCGGGGCTGGAAGGTTCCCAGGGCTCCCATCTGCCCGTGCGCCAGCTGCCGTCCTCGCCCTAGAAACCCCAGCTCTGGCACCGGCAGCCCCCCAGGATGCATCACCCGCGCAGCCCGCATCCTCCCATCTGCAGCTCTCTCCTCCACACAGCGGCTCCCATCCCGTGTCGGGAAGGAAGGGGCACTTGTCGCAGTGGCGGTGGCACCTCCCTTGGTGGCCATGTGGCTTCCTGTTTTCCACCTTCCTCTTGGCCTCACTCCTGTCTCCATTCTTGGCAACGCCCACAGCCATGGTGACGACCCCGGGGCCCTGGCCTCCTGTTCCCTCACAGTCCTCCTCCAGCCCAGCCCCTCATGACTGCTCAGGATCCGCATCGCCACCTCTGAAAACGCCCCCTCACACCTCCCGCCCAGCCCCTCCCAGGACTCCGGATTGATTACAGGGTCCATCTCTTGGCGAGCTTCTCCCCTCGTTGTCTAACAGACGTCTGAAACTTGAATGTCCAGATCAGAATTCTCAGTTTCCCCCACAGCTGCCTCTGTCTCCATCTTCCTGGCTCAGTAGATGACACAACTGTTCACCATGCGGCCAAAGCCAAATCCGTGTCTTCCCGCCCGTGCCGCTTCTCCAACCCCGAGCAAAGCCCGTTCACTCCACCCTGGCGCGACCTCTGGCCTGCCCACTGCTCTCCACGTCCTTGTCACTCTCAGCCTGGGCTGCCACCACCTCCAGTGGACTCCCTTCCTCCACGTGGCAGAGATCGGTCGTGGCACCTGTGTCCCCAAAACCGGAACCTGTCTTCTCACCCCTCTCCTGGACACCCAGGCCTTCCCTGCTCGAATAGATAGTGTCCGCTCCTTCCCGAGGTTCCCTCCAGCTGGAATATCCTCCCCCTGGCTCCTTTCCTTCGGGTCATTGTGTCATTCGGGTCTTGCTCCATGAAGAGACTTTCCCTGACCACCAGACTGCAGTGGTCACCATCACACTCAGCCACATTGCCCTCTTTTAATTCTGTACAGCGTTGTATTGGTTGAGGGCTTTTAAACTTAATGCTTGTTTTTTTTGTTTTCCTCCACAAAAATATAAGCTGCATGCATGGGGACTGTGTTGTCGCCCCCAGGGCCAGCCCCATGGTGATGTCAGCTAAGCCGCTCAGTGCCCGGGAATTGTCTTAGACCGCTAGGCCCTTCCCTGCGGGTGGACGTGGCCGTCCAGACCTCTTCCCGAAGAGCCCACGTGGCCCACAGGCTGTGCACACACAGCCCCGGAGGGCAGCAGGAGGGCAGAGTGGGTATTGTTTCCACCCGCTCGCTCGGGGCCCAGGGTCCCACTTCCCTCCGAGCCTGTGAAGTGCTCCCCAGGGCCTGCGGAGACTAGGTCAGCCCCGGAGAAGGCTGGAAGGCCGGTGACAGGCGATCTGCCGGCTGAGGCGGGAGAAGCTCCCAAAACAGAAGCGCAGACGCTGAGGCCACAGCTGGGGGACAGTGCCCCCCCCAGCTCTTCCTCAGGGCCCAAACAGCCCCACCCCTGCTGGGTCCGTGTCGCCCACCGGGCACAGAGTCTCCGGCCTCTGGGACCCTGCGACAGCACCCTCCTCCCCGCAGCCTCCCCTCCAGACCTGGCCTCTCCCGGCTGGCACAACAGGACGCAAGCGTGTGCCCGCTGTGTGCGGAGTCACCAGGAGCCGTCCCCAAGGTCGAGGGAGTGGCTGTGGACAGACAGAAGCCCGCCCCTCGGGCATACCCCATGGTGGGGAGATGCCTCTGGCCAGGAGGAGCAAAGCGGAAGAGCAGAGCTGAAAAGTCAGGGTGCTCTTCAGTGCAGGGAAAGTGGGCACAGCTTCTAGGAGAGGAGGTCTCGTGGGCACCAGGCCTGAGCGACCCGGGGGACACGAAGGCCTGCGGGTGCCAGGAGGGGGGGCGGCCCCGAGCGCAGCCTGGTGTTGGGATCCTCAGGAGGCCCGGTGG